TATTTGGGTTACATAGGGATAATGGGAAAAGAAAATGCAAACTTCTGTAATATTCGGGTTGTATTTGGGTTACATAGGGATAATGGAAAAGAAAATGGACACTTCTGTAATATTGGGGTTGGATTTGGGTTATATAGGGATAATGGGAAAGAAAATGGACACTTCTGTCATATTGGGGTTATATTTGGGTTACATAGGGATAATGGATAAGAAAATGGACACTTCTGTAATATTGGGGTTGGATTTGGGTTATATAGGGATAATGGGAAAGAAAATGGAAACTACTATGTAAGGGAAGTAAGGAAACCACAGTCTGAAACTTCCTCGTTTGCGCCAAGACTCTGAGCCATTGCAATAAGACCGCTGAAGTGCATCTTTGTCACCTTTGCGGATGGCGTCCATCTTGCCCCTCAAGGCACCCATGCGCTCTTCAATTTCTTGCTGCACGGACAGCCCAAAGGATCCAGGAGCTTCGATTGACTCTCGTCCTCAGGGCTATATTGGGGTAATCGAAAAGGAAATGGAAACTACTCTAATATTGGGGATATATATTGGGATAATGGAAAAGAAAATGGAAGCTACTATCATATTGGGGATCGCAAGTCTGTTGGCTCAACACATGCATATGTGAATGAAGCAAAAGCCGTTTCAAGCGTCAGCCAGTCGACACTTCTTGAAATTCAGCGCTTCCATTTTCTTTTCCATTATCCCAATACAACCCCAATATTACACTAGTTTCCATTTTCTTTTCCATTACCCCAATACAGCCCTTAGACGCTTCTCCTTCGACCTGCCGCAGGGCGCGCCGACTCCTTTGCGAGCGCCACTGAGCAACAAGTGCCTGAAGCACGGGAGAGTGAAAGTACCCTGAAACTCTCTACTATAATATACTGTAATATACTAGAATATACTATGATATACTAGAATATAGAATAATTTACTAGAACATACTCATAATTGCATAATTGCATCCTGCGGGCCCACGGCAGCAGGCCGCAGCACAGTCTACATGCTGATGGTTGTACCAGCACGCAGCTGGCAGAAGACGGATTTCGTGTGCCAGTCGCTACGGCACGAGGCCTGGATGCAGTCGTTATTCACAAGACATGACTAAGCGATTAGGGGTTTAGGGTTAAGGGGTCTAGGGGTTTAGGGTTGAGGGGTTTAGAGGATTTGGGTCAGAGAGTTGCGCCCAGCTTCGTCAAGACACGCAGGTAGCTGGATGCAGAAGCATTTCTTGTAAACTCCACCTAGTGTCCCCCTTAACCCCTATGATACTCCCCTGTATAGTCCCCCTATATAACCCCCCCCTTTAAGGAATTCAACCCAGCAACTCCGGCCGCCGGTAATTGGAAGAAGGCCATACAGGCACAGCACCCATCGCAGGCTCTGTGAGCAACATCCCCGGCATGTCCATGCACCCAGCTGCTAAGCAACGATCTGCGCTGGGACCTATAGTCCCCCTTAAGTA